TTATAAGAATATATTGTGCGATAATGGCCACCCTGATATATTTGTTGCAAAGAATTTTGAAGAAAAGCCCAAGCCCTTACCAGTTATAACCGCGGCGAAGAAGCATTTATTTTTAAGAATACCTTTTAAGGGGGATGCCGCTGGGAAAAGCTTAAACAAAACTCTTGCAGCTGCAGTCAATTCGACACTCCCAGCAGCCAGAGTAAAGTGTACATTTTCTACTGAACCACTTGTTTGAACACGCAATAAGGAGATGCAGCCATTCCTGACCTCATCTATGGTTATTTATCATTTCAAGCGCGCTTGTGACGCTACTTATGTTGGTCGAACGGCACGGCAATTGTCCGAACACGTGAAGGAGCACTGCCCGCGCTGGTTACGCCAAGGAGGAATTGGGGCCATTAGCAGCGCCGTTTTGGTCCATATTGTCGACACGGGGCACCAAGTTGATCTAAAGCATGCCTTCAGGAAAATGTACAGCGTCGACCAGCAGCAATCAAGCGCTTCGCGCCTCCGTGCGCTGGCAAAAGCTGAATCGACTTACATTCGGTTTTTACAACCTACATTATGTTCGCAAAAGTAGTTGCTACATGCCTTACAGCTACCTGGCCAGCTAGAAAAAACTTAACTACCACAGCAACCATCCGATGAATCACAAGAACAGCTGCATCCAGACCCTGTTCAAAAGAACGGAAACGCACTGCAGCACAGCCGAATCGCGGAAACAGGAAGAAAAGCACCTATATCGAATGTTTAAACACAACGGTTATCCGAGAAATTTTATCAGAGGAAGCTGAAAGAAACGAACGTCTCAGCAACAGTAGCAGTCACCTGAGCAAGCAAACAAACGGCTAGTGCTCCTCTACATCAAGGACGTCTCGGAACTCACAAGAAGACTGCTGCAGTCACATGGGATCACTGTGGCCCACAAACCAAGTGCCACCATAAAGAAATTTCTCTCAAGGCCCAAAGACAAAGTCAATCAAGCCGACCAATGCAATATCATCTACCAGATACAATGCAGCGACTGCGATAAAAACTACGTCAGACAAGCTGGAAGAAAGCTTTATACACGAATTACCGAATACAAGACGTCCGTCAGAAGACATGACCCGCATTCGTTGGTTTCTGTGCATGAAGATCAAGAAAGTCACCATTTTGATCTGGTGAATGTAAAGATTCTAGCACATGGAAGTACAAAACATGCAAGGGAGTTTTTGGAAGCCTGGTATTCTACGACGAATTCAATCAATCGGCACGTCGAACTGGACGCAGTATACGCAACCTTACTGGCGAACGACCGACAACTCGATCGATTGAATCCGAGGGAACGTGTGACTAGACAACCAGAACTGACAACAGACTCGCTCACAAGAGCAAGCAGACAAAGGCCACGAAACACAAGGGGTCAAGGTCAAACATCCTCTGTCCATCGTCCCAGCTGAATGCGGATCGAATTTTCAGCCAACAGGATTGCTGGTCTCCAGGGAATACCACGGGGATATAAAAACGCACGCACACCACGCTCAGCGTACTCTCACCGAGGCAACGCTACGCTACGCATCGATACTGCACGCCACTCAACTACGCACTGCTGATGTCACATCGATTGGTGACGAAAAGTTTGCAAAAAATTGCCAAGCTCAGCGAACAGTTCAAACCCCATCTGAACAATCTGAGCTACCCGTCTTCAATGCTATAGCCAACCAATTCGGGCATACAGCGCTGCAACAGGCTCCTCGTTGGGAAAACTTTGCCTGCCGACAAGCTTGCATACGCGAACAGCTCTAATTCCTTAATAAATGCCTGACAATGAATGTGTTGCCAGCTAGTACAACCACAGACCCGTGCTAATCCATCCAGCTACCTGGAATTTAGCAAGACAATACGGGAGACGTATGGTCAATCTGATGATAACGGATGCCCACAACCGCCTAAGCAAATATGAAAAAGTCATAATCGACAATAGAACCAATTGCTTCAGTGCTATTGATCCACAGCTACGAACAGCGCTGGCCTCCGCAATTGAACGTTGAGTCAAAAGCAGGATGAACCGAAGCAAGCTTGTATTGAACACAAAGTTAGACAAACTGACTAAGAGAAATGACTGCAGAAGTAGTGAAGGATGGATCAAAGACCTTTCACACCGCCACCTCACGGCAACTGAAGAGAATGTCTTGGTCAAGGGACTCAACTAAAACGTCAAAGATGCTTGCCTTAAAGACTAACTGGTTAGCATAGAACACGCACTGAAATCAAATGGACTGTCAGAGGAGACCAAGCAACAGATAAAGCAGACAGTTGTCTCAGTATTAACTCGGAATAAAGTCACCCAGACTTTAACTAAGGAGGAACTGGATGCACGCAGATGTCTACACAAAGACGAGAACATTGTAATCCTACCAGCGGACAAAGAGCGCATGACCGTGATAATGGACAAACCGGAGTATATTAACAATGCCAAAGAACTGCTATCCGACACAAATATAAATCGCCAGATTGATCAAGTTCCAAGTTCAAAACTAGTCAACCAGATCAACGCAACGCTGAAGAAACTACAAACAAAGAACGAGCTCACCACCAAGGAGAAATGGAGAATGAAAGCTGCTGATACAAACCTTGCACTGTTCTATGGACTACCAAAAGTATACAAGGATGGAGTCCCACCATGACCAATCGTCTCGCTTCCCGGTATCCCATCATATAAACTAGGGAAGAATTTGTGGAGGAGGTTGAAACATTGATTGTTGGAACGGAACATAGCATCAACAATGCTGAACAATTCCTCAGCAAACTGCGGAGTGTCAAAATAGAAGATGACGAAATAATGTTTTCATTTAATGTCACAGCACTCTTCACTTCAATCGGTCACGAACTGGCCAAATAAGTCATGATGGAACTACTTGAGAAACAACTAAGCTCAACGACAACCATACAATCTGAAGGCGTTTTGGAACTCCTGAACCTCTGCATGACCACGTAGATCCGCTTTGATGGACAAGTGTACCAGCAACTGAGAGGAACACCCATGGGGTCCCAAATTTCGGGGCTCATTGCAAAAGCCCTGATGCAGAAATTGGAGCGCATTGCATTGCCTTCTGTCAGCCAAAAACTCTGGATGCGATAGGTGGACGCCACATTTGTTACCGTAAAAACGGAACAGAGTAAAGGCCACGAACAATTTGACAAACAACACATTCGAGGATATCAATTTTACCATTGAAATAGAAGAGGATAACAAAGTGCCATGTTTAGATGTACTGGTCCCTAGGAATAACGACGGCTCTCTGCAAATCAGCATATACCGGAAGAAAACAAATACAGAGCAGACATTAAAATACCACAGCAACCATCCGATGAATCACAAGAACAGCTGCATCCAGACCCTGTTCAAAAGAACGGAAACGCACTGCAGCACAGCCGAATCGCGGAAACAGGAAGAAAAGCACCTATATCGAATGTTTAAACACAACGGTTATCCGAGAAATTTTATCAGAGGAAGCTGAAAGAAACGAACGTCTCAGCAACAGTAGCAGTCACCTGAGCAAGCAAACAAACGGCTAGTGCTCCTCTACATCAAGGACGTCTCGGAACTCACAAGAAGACTGCTGCAGTCACATGGGATCACTGTGGCCCACAAACCAAGTGCCACCATGGGGGGCGAATTGTTTGGAATATGATTATCTTCTACCTCACGTTCAACTTAAACCTGCGGATCCGGCACAAAAGTGATATTTCATCGCATAAAGAAAGAAGTTACGTGTAGTGATTGGTATCCTTTCTGCTGCGACGGAGATCGTTCCGCTCATTATGTTACGGACAACTTGACTTCGAAGTCAAACGGTAGCTTCTACTGCACCTTCAACGATCCGACCGAACTAGCCTGAATACCCACCAAAACGAGGTAACCTATCTGCGCCTTTTGTTTAGAGTACCATTTCTGTACCAAGCCAACGTTATGCACTGTTGTCCTGGGTGCATCAATTGCGCCCTAGCCTCAGACATCTCCTTTGCTCACTTACAAAAGGATACTTCAGGCTTATACCCGGTGCTCTGAGCGCACGCGTTTCCCTTCCCTCAGGGACTTGTAGCATCCGCACGCACGCACGCACGCACGCACGCACGCACGCACGCACGCACGCACGCACGCACGCACGCACGCACGCACGCACGCACGCACGCACGCACGCACGCACGCACGCGCAGACGGGACGTGCAAGCTTGGCCGATACAAGGTCACTGGACCTTATCGACTCATGTGAGACTTGAAAAAGACACACAGCATAAGCATCACGTGCACCACGGCCGATGACTCGTCAACGGGGCTGACTACATGCTATACGATTGAACAGTGCCTTGTGCCCTACCGTGATACAGTGTTAAATTGTGTCAATCTATTGTCACTTTTGACAATCTATTTTCCTACCTAATCTCGGAGTTTTCACTATTATTTGTTGGGTCGTTAATTACGTAATAATACGCAACCGTATTTTCCTATAAAACCCCAACAAATTTTGGTGACCCCGACGTGACCTAAAATGGCCTCCGAAGACAGCTATTTGATGTCCTCTGTATCACATCAACCAACGCACAGAATTGACACTGTTTCAGTCAACCTCCCGCCGTTTTGGCATCATGATCCAGCAATCTGGTTCTGTCAGGTCGAAGCACAATTCCATCTCCGGAATATCACACAACAGTCAACCATGTTTTATCATGTGCTTTCTGTGCTTCCACCTGAAGTTGCTGCGGATGTTCGTGATGTGTTACAAGCCCCAGATCAAGTCACCCCTTTCAACACTTTGCGCGACACTATCATCAAACGGACAACGATATCAGAATATAAGCGTCTGGAACAACTCCTCAACGGTGCTGATCTTGGTGAATGTACACCATCACAGTTACTTCGTCGAATGTACAACACTTTGGGAGATCGCCAGCTTGATTCCGCTCTTTTCATCCAACTGTTTTTGAAGCGCCTCCCTTCACATGTACAAACAATCCTAGCACCGTCGATTGACACCGTCCCCATCGACAAACTGGCGACTATGGCTGATCGAATTTTAGAAGTTCAACCAAATTCAACTTCTTTGTCTTCGATCAACTCAGCGACGGAAACACCGTCCATTGCCGACCAGATTAAGCTGCTTTCCGAACAAATCGCTGAACTTAGAGCTTCACACTCTCGCCAATTTCGATGTTTTTCACGTCGACGATCAAACAGCAGAACTTACCGATCGAATTCTAACAACAGACAGTCTGACAACTACTGCTGGTACCACAACAAATTTGGTCATAGAGCAAGGAAATGTGTTTCCCCCTGTTTGTTCAGAAACTCCAAAAACAATGCTCCGCAGATGCCGGAAAACCGCCAGGCCGAGTGTTAGGGGCGAGTAACACTCGTGGCTATCAAACCCAATCTCGCCGTCTTTCTGTTGTGGATCGTACTTCTGGACTAAAATTTTTGATTGACACTGGAGCAGACGTTAGTGTTATTCCCCCGCAACCCACCGACACTCTCCCTCCTGGGAATTTTTATGAACTTACTGCTGCAAACGGTACGAAAATACGTACGTTTGGACAACGTTTGCTGACACTTAATTTGGGATTACGACGTGAGTACCCTTGGATTTTTCTTATTGCGGATGTTCGCCAGCCTATTTTAGGTGCGGATTTTCTTACACATTTTAATTTATTAGTTGACTTGAAAAACCGTAGCCTCCAGGACGGTATTACTAAGTTATCTGTGTGCGGTGAACCTATCATTTGTTCCCAATCTGTTCCATTGTTATTGTCCACGCTTCATCCAACCTCCTATTCTTCCATACTTAGAGATTTCCCTAACCTGCTTAAACCCAATTTTCACCAGGCTAATCCCAAACATTCTGTAACCCATAGGATAGAGACTCGCGGTAACCCCGTTTTTGCTCGCCCCCGACGTATGCCACCTGAACGCTTGCTCATCGCCAAAAGGGAATTTCAACACATGCTCCAACTGGGAATTATCAGACCCTCTCACAGTACTTTTGCTTCACCCTTGCATATGGTCCCTAAGTCAACGCCAAATGATTGGCGCCCCTGTGGTGACTATCGAGCCTTAAACAACTCCACTATCCCCGATAGATATCCCCTTCCTCATATCCACGATTTTACTGCAAACATTACCGGTTGTACAGTTTTCTCACACATTGACATTCTCAGAGCGTATCATCATATCCCTATTCACCCCGATGATGTGCACAAGACAGCTATTACCACTCCTTTTGGTTTATTTGAGTTTTTGCGTATGCCCTTTGGTTTAAGGAATGCTGCTCAGACCTTTCAACGTTTTATTGACCAAGTTCTCCACAATCTGGATTTTGTATTCTGTTATTTAGATGATATTCTCGTTGCTTCCAAAACCCATGATGAACACATTACCCATCTTCGCATACTGTTTCAACGCCTACAAGATCATGGCGTAGTACTTAACGTTCAGAAATGCGAATTTGGTGTTTCCTCTTTAAATTTTCTCGGACATACGATTAATCAGCATGGCATTACTCCCGCACAACCTAAGCTAGACGCTATCACCTCATTTCCGTGTCCCACTTCTCTTCGTCAACTGAAGCGTTTTCTTGGAATGGTTAATTATTATCGTCGTTTCATTCCTCATGCAGCCGCTATGTTGATGCCTTTGACTGACCTGTTGAGAGAAACTCACTCTGACTTTCATTTTTCTGAACAAGCTCAACAAGCATTTGAGAAAGCCAAATGTACCTTAGCGAAACAATGTACCTTGTTTCATGTGCGCCAAGGTGCCCCCTTGTCTCTCCACGTCGATGCATCTAACACTGCAGTAGGGGCTGTTCTTCATCAAACCGTTGACCACCAGAAACAACCACTTGGTTTCTTCTCCAAGAGACTTCAGCCAACGGAGACGCGGTATAGTGTATTTGGTCGAGAACTTTTGGCCATCTATCTAGCTGTGCGTTACTTCCGACATCTTTTGGAAGGCCGTGAATTTTGCATCTATTCAGACCATAAAGCTCTTGCTTCAGCCTTTTCTGCTAATCCTGACAAATATTCGCCCCGAGAGATTCGCCAACTTGATTACATCTCTCAGTTTTCCACTGATATCCGGCATGTTGCCGGCAACCAAAACGTAGTCGCAGATACTCTGTCTCGTCCTGGTGTTGACTGTGTTTCCGCAATCGATTTACACCAGATGGCGAAGGCTCAGAAGACAGAATCATCCGAATCATTCTCATCACCCTCTGAGAAATTTTCACTTGTGTTAAAACCACTCCCTCTCTATACACATCCTGGAACAATCGAATGTGATGTTTCGACGCATGTACCACGTCCATTGGTACCACCATCTATGCGCCGACAGGTTTTTGAAACTTTTCACAATGTTTCACATCCAGGAATCCGCCAATCCATCCGTCTCATCTCTGAACGATACGTATGGCCAAACATGAACAGAGACATCAAGGAATGGGCTGCAAATTGCCTTTCCTGTCAACGTTCTAAAGTCATCCGCCATACACGCTCACCTTTCGGAACCTTTAGCAATCCCGATGCCCGTTTTGCTCATGTTCATTTGGACATCGTCGGTCCTCTTCCTGTGTCAAATAGCAACGCGTATATCCTCACTTGCATCGATCGCTTTACGCGTTGGCCAGTCGCTATTCCTATACCTGACACTCACACGGAAACAATCGCTCGTAATTTCATTAACCATTGGGTCGCGACATTTGGTGTTCCAGCCACCATTACGACTGATCGCGGTTCCCAGTTTGAATCCATTCTTTTCTCAAACATTACCAACATTCTTGGATGCCAACGCATCCGTACCACAGCATATCACCCGCAAGCAAACGGCTTAGTGGAACGTTTGCATCGCCACATCAAAACAGCTCTAATGGCTCACAACAACCCATCTCAATGGTGTGATTTACTACCACTTGTGTTGTTACAGCTACGTACAATGTTTCGACAAACTTTGCAATGCTCACCTGCAGAACTTGTTTTTGGAACCACTTTACGCCTGCCCGGCGAATATTTCTGTCCGTCTAGTACAGAACATCCACAACCATCTAATTTTGCAACAGAGTTGAAATTACACATGTCAAAACTCTGTTACGCACCTCCACTCTCAACCAGTACAAGTTCTTACGTTCCCTCTGACCTAATGCATTGCGCTTATGTTTTCATACGTTCAGATCGTGTGCGCAAACCCCTTCAACCACCGTACGATGGACCCTACCGAGTCATTTCTCGCGGTCCTAAGCATTTCACTGTTCAACTCCCAACTCGGACCGACACAGTGAGTATAGACCGTCTCAAGCCCGCACACATCGAAGCTGCAGTCAATCCCTCGAATCACGCCCCTACTACGAAATCGCAATCACCAGTCACGCCTCCGAACTACGTCACACGTTTCGGTCGTAAAGTTACGAGACCCGACCGATTCAGACCACTTTGACTCTTTGCAAGAGAGGAGTATATGTAGCATCCGCACGCACGCACGCACGCACGCACGCACGCACGCACGCACGCACGCACGCACGCACGCACGCGCAGACGGGACGTGCAAGCTTGGCCGATACAAGGTCACTTGACCTTATCGACTCATGTGAGACTTGAAAAGACACACAACATAAGCATCACGTGCACCACGGCCGATGAACGTCAACGGGGCTGACTACATGCTATACGATTGAACAGCGCCTTGTGCCCTACCGTGATACATTGTTAAATTGTGTCAATCTATTGTCACTTTTGACAATCTATTTTCCTACCTAATCTCGGAGTTTTCACTATTATTTGTTGGGTCGTTAATTACGTAATAATACGCA